GAGCAAGAAAGTTTCGTTATCATGTTGACCTTTTGAGGATTTTCAATAAACATGTTTAGATTTTTAAACAATTGGTTTTCCTGTTGTATAGGTTCCCTTCACATTTTCTCTGGTATATTTTGCAGAAGGCAAATAGACAGAACTAGCCTTTATTTTTTTTTATTTTTATGAAGTGGGGAAGAGATGTTGGTTTACATTAGTGCTCAGTGAAATCTAAGGGGACATGCAGGTCACTCTCTTATTGGGCATTTTGACCTGATACCAATTATGCACTGATAGGATGACAGCTCTCTCTGCTCAGCCATTGGCCAGAAAGGGTAAGTGCTGATTGTCTGATGGTGCTCTGTAAACTCTAGATTCATACAGATGTAGACCTGTCAATGCAGATAGCATCTTAACATCCAAATAATCCAAAGAGCCCAAATCACTATCAAGAGTGTTTTCAACTGAGCTGAGAAGAATTGGCCAATGGAAAGTCTGATAGTCTGGAGGACCACATCTTTTCTCACACAGTTCAAGTCTCTTTGTAAGCAATAGTCATTCTCTGCAAACTTTGATCAGCTTCCAAAGGGAGGAGTCTGTTGATTGTACTGAAGCCATTTCTTATCTTTGGTGCTTTCTATTAAAGATTTGGACATTTCTCTATCCAACCCTCTGTGGATCAAATGGGTTGGTAAATCTTACTTCAGGCAATTATGTTTCTATGAATGTCTTTCTCCAAACTGTCTTAAAAGTTAAAACTTTCATTATTCTTTTCATATTGAAGTCAACATGGAAAAGAATAAAGTTCTCTCATTTTTAATCCAACCTGGATGAGCAAATACAGGTAGTCCTCAACTTACAACAGTTTGTTTAGTGACCGTTCAAAGTTACAATGGCACTGACAAAGTGACTTAGGACCATTTTTCACACTTAGGAGCATTGCAGCATCCTTGTGATCACATGATCAAAATTCAGATGCTTGGCAACTGACTCATATTTATGATGGTTGCAGTGTCTCAGGGTCATGTGGTCACCTTGTGCGATCTTCTGACAAACAAAGTCAATGCAGAAGCCAGATTCATTTAACAACTGTGCTACTAACTTAACATCTGCAGTGATTCACTTAACAATAGTGGCAAGAAAGATTGTAAAATGAGGCAAAACTCACTTAACAAATGTATCACTTAGCAACAAAAATGTTGGGCTCAATTGTGGCCACAAGTGGAGGACTACCCGCAGGATTAGGATAAGTAAGTTCCCCTTTTTCTCTGTTGCCTGAGACACAGTATTAGGAAAGAAGCAGACTTGGCTTCTCCAATAGTTATGTGTAGGAATGCAAGAGTAATCTAAGATTATATTAGCCTCAGAAACAGTGGGGAGTTCTTCACAATAGACAAGAACAAATGTCCCACTTTACACATTAGCCATATTATAACTGCAGTAGAAAGTGTTGGACTGTGTCTTTGGATATTTATATGTATGCACCAGATTCAATACATTAGTCACAATTGAAGATATACAAAATATGTATATCTTTGTCTTGCATTTATTCAATACGATACAGGTTTGCATTGCTACAATTGTGGTAACCCTATTTTGGGTTAACAAAAGAGAATTCTTCTGTTTTGATCAAAATATATACTTCCATTCATACAATAAATAAGAATGCAAGTGAGTTTCATTTTTGTGAGAACCATAAATCTGTTAATATTTTATTTGCTTTTGGGGGAAGGTCATCTTAAGGGATAACATTATCTGTTTCAGTATGTGTAATTTTGTATGAGAAGTATTGCTTACATGGTTCTTTATTCTATCTTATACTTGACTAATGATCACTACATTTCCAAGACTGTATTTTAGACTATGATCCATATGGAAACTCTAGGAATCTAAGAAATTAAACATAATATTACTTGCATATTAAATTCAGTTTTATAAAGACTCCCCCCCCCCAGCTTCTGAAAATCTCTAGATAAAGAGTAATATCAGCTTTAACTGAAATTAACACGATGATTATTTAGAAGGAAAATATCAAATATCTTATTTATTCCATATGCAGGCTATTCCCTAAATCTTATAGTCATCTTTTGGCAGAAATTAAAAGCAGAAGTGACTGTGACTTCATCTAAAGTAGCATTTTAGATATGTCCAAAACATGTGCAGAGTCCATCCTTTTTTAAGCCTGGAATTGCAGGCCATCATACTTATTCAAATACTATAAATGTTGTGAACTTAGCCCTCTGAGCTTCAAAGTAATTTGTATGAGCTAATTAGTTTGCCATCCTTTCCTCACTCTATGGTGATGTTGCTTTAAAAATCAAATGGACAAATGTACTTATTCAGAAGTGATGCCAAATGAGTTTTAACTTTTACTGTCAAATTCATTATGCAACTTTCCTTTCTTAATGAATTTTCTCTGGGAGAAAGATAAAGAAATGGTAAGGAAACACAGAAATAATCTAGATGAAAAACAGTATATTTAGACCCCACACAATTTTTTTGTACTAGTGTGAATTATTGCCATCTATTTTCAGAATTTGTTGGTCTAACAGATTTTCATCTCCAAGGTGAATAACAGTATTGGAATAAATTTGACTAGGAAAATATAGGTGTGTATGTATGGGAAGGTCAGTGCCCTTTTCTCATACAGCACTGACTGTCCAAATCTTTCTTTTATAATATAGAAAATTACATTAGGAGACCTATTCATGGATCTCCCACATATATAGATTGACCCTAATTCCTGACACACAGTCCAGGCCTTCCTACTTGTTCTTTGAGTTCTAGAACACTAAGTAGTACTATGAAGGGCAATTGTTTGTTTCTATGACACTTTCATGAAGATTCTTTTTATGCCCTCATGGAGGGGAGGGCAAATCCTTGCAAATAGAGATGGGTCCTGACTGGCCAGCATTCCATCTTCTCTTTGACCCATCCATAGCCTGTTGAACAGAAGTAAGGAAAGATATTACCGATAAGAAGGTTACTCATATACATCCAATTTCCCAAGGCGAAAGGTGAATTATCGTTCGGTTGTTTAAGAAAATCCTTGTATTCCTCATTTCTCTCCCATTCCTTTTTATGGTATAATTGGTTTCTATGAGCCCTTAGAAATTCATGCCAATTGTAAGCTTGATATGGATTATAAGGAACTGCAGAATATATCAATTTAAATAATGAACCAAATAAATTACCATATGAACAGAGGGAGGCAGATTTCAAAATAGCTTAAATACTGTCTTCAGATTTATCACATATCAGGCTTCATTTTTTAATCCCTTACCCCTAATTAAGCTTAGGTTTAAACTCTCTTTTCTTTCTAATAAAAGAAGGGCAGCTCAAACTCTTCTTTGCACTGCCTTTTTGCTCTTTGGGTATCTTCTATAATTACACATTTCTTTGTGCCTCTTAAACTGATAAATCAATGCAGCCAAATGATTGGCTTAAGAAAAACTGCACAGTATCTTTTAATTGTTAACATTCAGATCCTTTATTTGGAAGCAAGTCTTGTATAATTCTGTCAACCTGTTTATTTCTAGATTAAAGGCCTTTTGTTAAGAGCCAGCTTATGATCTAATTGCTTAGTTTGATCATGTACCTCAGTCCTTAGGCTCTTAATGATATTCCCTTATAACAAATTTATCACAAGTTTTGACTTGGTATGCCCAATTCACATTTAGGACCAAGCTGATCTGTCCTTGTAAATCATCCATTGAGTTTTCTACTTTGCCAGTTTAACAGTTGGAATGTGTTAAAACCTGTTGGGTTTGTATTATGATAGCCTGAACCTTTTGATGTATGAGTTGAGTAAGAGACTGTGTACTTCAAAAGATATCAAACTAATTCAGAAGGCCTTAGCAAACAGACATCCATCTGATGAAATGAGTATACTTCATGAAAACCTCTGCTTTTTAATAAAATATGTTAGTCTAAAAAGATGCTACCAGATTCCTGATTTCTAGCTACCATAGATCAACTCATCACTCCTCCTACTAGGTCTGCCAGACCTACAAAATATAACCAAACAACATTCTGAAAAAATAAAATAAGTGCAACCATATTTTATATGTGTATAGGTGAGTTCAATCCAGAAAAATCAATACACATTCTTCAGGGGAAAATATTTAAGAGTTAGCATTTAGTGACAAATTTACTTTTGGACACTATTGAAAAAGTGGGCAAGGTCCACTTTTTGGACAAAGGCCCAAGACCTGAAAAATCTTGTTGGGGGCAGATTGTAACGGAGAAATCTATCTACAATATGGGATTGCTAAAAGTCAACAGTTACTTGATGATACACAGTCACTCCCTTACTCAATCAAAATACTTTTCTTCTCACAAAAGTCTACCATTAATCTTCCCATTGCAATTTCTGCTTTTTATGCCTTCTTTGCTTTTAGGGGAGGCCTGGTGATATTTCCACTAAGTGTAGATGTAAAAGGTCAGAACAGAAGAAGAAAGGGAATATAGGTAGTCCTCAACTTATGACCACAACTGAGCCTCAAATTTCTGTTGCTAAGCAAGATAGTTATTAGGTGAATTTTGCTCCATTTTACAATGTTTTTTGCCACAGTTAAGTGAATCATTCCAGATGTAAAGGTAGTAACATGGTTGTTAAATGAATCTGGCTTCCCCATACACTTTGCTTGTCAGAAAGTCACAAAAAGTGATCACATGATCCGGCGACACTGCAACCATCATAAATACATGCCAATTGCCAAGCGTCTGAATTTTGATCGCTTGATCACAGGGTCAGTGTGAAAAACAGTCAGAAGTCATATAAGTCACCTTTTTCATTACTATTGTAACTTCAAACAGTCATTAAACGAATGGCTGTAAGTCGAGGACTACCTTAAAGTGGAGATTAAAGACCAAATATTTTCTTAGCCCTTGAATGCCAATCAAAGCGGATAAAATGTAACAAGGCTCTATAAAATATAAAAGGAAATATCCACTCTCTCTTTTAAAACATTTGCTCTGTGTTCTTCGTTTCTTAGGTTTTGGAATAAGTATCCGCCATGAGCCAAGGAGGTTGGATAGGAACATGGAGGCCTCATCGTCCAAGAGGCCCAATCATGGCCCAGTATACCAGTCCTGGCCCCAAGTACTCCATACAAGGAGCAACAGGTAAATAAACAGAAATAAAAATGTTCCTTTTTTTTCATTCAGTCAGGACTTTAAAATACAGTCAGTGTTTTGTTTTATATTTATCTATCATTGCCATTTACAGCAGACCCTACACAAAAATGTCTTGGATAACAATGTGAAACATCCAATAATAATAATTTTTAAAAAAGAATTCAACATGAAAAGACATCACAATATACCCACATGTATTCTCCTTTGGAAACAGTTTTCTGTAATGATTTTCTGCACATTTCAACAGAGTTCGTACAGAGTTAGCGCCTGACTATTCTACTTGCTTTATGCTGATATTTTATTTAATGTTATATACTTATTACTTTTATGGCTTTTTGAAAACTGCAATACTGACTTTGGTCTTTTTTCCCCCACTGATTCAAGTAGAATTTAATTACAGGGCTTGGAGACGTGAAAAATCATCCTCTCAAACCCCAAGTCTTGACATTAAGTCAGGAACACCATAGCTCTTAAAATTTAGAACAGCCATCCCCACTTTAATGCCCTCCAAAAGTGCTAGATTGCAACTCCCAGAATTCTCAATCATCACAACAATAGTTGGCAAAAGACAAAATTTTGAATTGGGAACACTTAATCTTGGTTCCTGATTGGTGATGCTGCTGTGGGCAAATCTGCATATCCAAGTTGTGCTAGCATGAATTCAGACCACTAACTGTTTCTCAGGGGCAGCTATGGATGAGGCCATCCTTTTCCTGCCCTCCCGCCAGCCACCAGAAAGACAACCTCAGTCATCTTTTCCTGCTGCACGTCAAAAAATTTAAATTTGTATCCACACAGGCTATACTGCCCTGTTTACCTGCTGTGCTTCACTTCATTGAAGACAAGCATTGCATTCTAACTGGCCATAGGTCACTGCTCCCCACAGCCATCTTGGTTGTGCTGCTTAGCTGCCTCTCCATTTCTGAATTGCTCTTGATGGATGAATCTAATTTCCCCCTTCATTTCACTACTGGACTGTGAAACTCAGAATCTTTTTTTCCTACCAAGCTCACCAGTGGAATGGTAAAAGTATGGGGGATTATTAAATAAAGACAGGATAAATTGACAAGAGTTTTGCCAATGGAAATTACATGTCCTCAAAGAAATATATATGGAAATGGAAAAGGTTGCTCCTGCTTTCCAAACATTTGTGGGAAGGTTTAAAAAGTAGAAGTCCAGATGGAATACCAAAGATTTCATCTTAGCAAAAGTTGAAGAAAAGATTGAAATTGGGAAGTGACTTTATTAAGCCATTTTTATTTAAGCTATTTTCAGCTGGTTTATACCCAGATATCAAACAACTTTCCCAACAATATTTGGGAAAGGCAACAGCAGAAATAATGTCTTGGTAAGATTACACTTGGAATACTGAAAAAGATGTTGAGATTTTAAAAAGAGGACAGAGAAGAGCAACAAAGATGATTAGGGGATTGGAGGCTAAAACATATAAGGAACGGCTGCTGGAATTGGGTATGTCTAGTTTAACGAAGAGAAGGACGAGGGGCGACATGATAGCAGTGTTCCAATATCTCAGGGGCTGCCACAAAGAAGAGGGGGTCAACTTATTCTCCAAAGCACCTGAAGGCAGGACAAGAAGCAATGGATGGAAACTAATCTCGGAGAAGAGCAAGCTAGAATTTCTTGACAGTTAGAACAATTAATCAGTAGAACGACTTGACTCCAGAAATTGCGGATTCTCCAACACGGGAAGTTTTTAAGAAGAGATTGGACAACCATTTGTCTGAAATGGTATAGGGTTTTCTGCTTGAGTAGGGAGTTGGACTAGATGACCTGCAAGCTCCCTTCCAATTCTATTATTCTGTTAATGTCTAGACCAAGTTTCTCGGTTTGACGCTCCAGATGAATTTCAATCACAACTTCCAGCCAAAAGGAAATTTTGGATGTTGCAGTCTCAGTACATCCTGACAGTTGCTAGGTTGGGGAAAATTAGTTTTTCAGAAGAGAAGGTTTGGCTCTCATTTCTGTAATGGATTATAGGATATCAGGAGACAGGGATTACAAACTTTGTGTTAATTGTCAACTGAAACGAAGATGCTAAGACGATACAACTCAATGTGAAATTTCTGGTGACTAAATCTGATTACACCTTTTCTAACAAACACATTTATTATTAAAAGGCATTAGCTTTCATGAACTGTAGCACATAAGTGCATTGGATGAAGCTGATAAGACTTATGCGTTTTAATAAAATTTCTTAGTTAAAAAAGGTGATATCAAACTCCTGATTTTTTTTGCTACTGCAGCCTAAGACATCTCTCGTCTAAGGGTTTCTCTGACTGTGATTGGGATCTCCTTGCAGAGGGAGGGTGTCACACAAATTAATGTATCATTTTAGGTGTGGTCACACTACTATAGACATGATACAACTCTTTTTTTCCAGGTTATGTATCACACATTCCCACCAAAAGGAAAGCACCTGCCTACAGCATGTATGGTGCAAAGCCTCTATCTAGCAAGGACAATGTTCCGGGTCCTTACTTTGTGCAGGGTTCTGTGACTAATAGAGGAAAGAAGACTGGTCCCTGTTTTTCAATAGGTGGGCGAACTGAATCAAAAGTGGAGACTACCCCAGGTCCTGGTGAGTAACAGACTTCCATCCCAAGTATATAAATCAAGTGGATTGCCTCTTCTAGGAATTCTGACATAACATTTTGAAAGATTCTGTGTGGTTAAATAGAAGCAAAAGCCTGCCATCACCTGTACAAGAAAAGGAATTGATGTTGTCCTATGCAGTTTCATCATGCAGAACTATTTTCACTTAACAAGAAGGCTTTGTTAAAAAAATAGATCTTGGTGCTTGAAGAACTGACCTCAACCTTCAGACAATAGTCACCTTTAGATCAGATGTGGGCAGCACTCAGATCAAATCAAATCAAACCATACAAGCCATCAAGAAGCAAGCTAGTATACCTGGATTATAAGAATGGGCATGAACAGCCTACTATTTGCTCAAAATCTGAATGTTCAGATCAGTGTTTCTCACCCTTGACAATTTTAAGGCATGTGGACTTCAATTCCCAGAATTCCACAGCCAGCATTGCTGGCTGTGGAATTCTGGAAGTTGAAGTCCACATGCCTTAAAATTGTCAAGGGTGAGAAACACTGGTTCAGATGGACAAATAGATCACATTGATTAGATAAGAGAACATTTTTGTGTATACACACACACACACACACACACACACATACACATACACAGAGAGAGAGAGAGAGAGAGAGAGAGAGGGAGAGGGAGAGGGAGAGAGAGGCCTTTTCCTCTAGCTTATAGCTTTGCATGTTCTTTCTCCTATGTATTACTTCTAAAATTCTAACCCTATTCCTCTTTGCAAGCAGAATAAATGGTGCAAAGATGATATTTCATCCTGGAACTACATTGACTCATGGTGGCCATAGAACAGCTTCATGTCCTAACAACAATCCAGAAGTGGTTTGCCTTTGCTTCTTCCAGAAGGGTTTGCTTTTCAGGATTCCAGTTTGGCTTACAGCTCTGGGATTTCTTGATGCCTTAAGTACAATTCCCAAAGTCATTCCAAAAATGGCTACTACATTTTTCAATGGTGGCGGGGGGAGGGGGGATACTCAATAATTAACCTTATCTGAATTATTTATTTGATTTTCAGGAAATTTGAAATTAAATGAAATCAATTTTATTTTTTTGCTGCACCCCTGCTCCCTCAATTTCTTGAGCCAACCTTACCTACTTTTTAAAGTGCGGTCTCTGATCTAACCATCAAAAAGGAAGAACAAGATCTGGCCCTGAATAGAATGGCCCAGTCCTACTTTAAGACATACAAGGCACAATTAAAATTAAGTTTAAATCCAGTTTTCAGCAATGTTGTCTGTTTCTCCTAGCCTGTTACTCACCTGATAAGGCAAAAAAAGTTATCTATAAAGCTGCTCCCATGCATTCCATTGGATATCGGACTCATGGAGGAAAGGTGGATAGTACGCCAGGTAAGTTCGATTCTGTTTGTTTGTTGTTTGACTTGGCTATTCCTTGAAGGAATCATACTCAGATCCTGTTAAGTCACAATTCAGAGCAATATCATCTCATAAACTGGGATGCAGCTCAATTCCATGCAGGTTTCCTTGGAGGAAAGTCCAACTGAATTTGATTATGTGTAACTGAACAGAAGAGCATAGAATTGTGATTCTTCCCACCACAAAAGATTTTTTTCTCACTGAGGTAAACTTCAGTTGTACCTATCTCTGTTGCACTATGTCTATCCACAATTTATTGGGCCAATTGTGCAGCAAGAATAGAGACTTGACGGGAAATTGTTTTAAACAACAACAAAAATGGGCATAGCTGGGAAAGAGCCCTTCATACCTCTTTAAACAATAAAACTCAGACATTGCTTTTGGACATGAGAGTATTCAAAAATCATTTGTGATGTCTTGTGATAGTTTGATATTTGAAGAAAAATACTCAACGATTCTCATGAACAACCTTCCATAGTCTAGTTAGTACCTCCCAGATAATTTGTGGATTCTATTTTCAGAATTTCCAGTCAGTTTCCTCTATGAAAATTCTGGGAACTGAAATCCTGGAACATGTCTGGAAAGTGCCAGAAAGTGGAAGGCTATGCTGACTCAGGAATTCTGGGAGTTGAAGTCCATGAGTCATAAAAGAGCCGAGGTTGCCTACCCCTGCTCTAGACAAACCCAAAGTACTACTTTGAAGATCAGCCTGTCTTTTTCTCAAGGGTTATCAGGATTCTCACTCTTCATTTTGGTAATATTCACATTTTTCCAGGTCCTAACAATTATATGATTCCAGAGGTCCTTGGACCACATTCAGTGGCTACCCCAGGTAGCCCTTCCTATTCTATGACAGGAAAGAGTAAGCTTGGACGTTTTGATGAAGACCTTCACAAGGTAATCTGTGGATTCAATTCTTATTTTGTTTTATTGGACTTTGTTATTTAATAACCACAATGGACAACTTAGAAACACACTTGGCTTTTAAACCCAACTTTTATAACCTTCTGCTACTTACAGTTTGGCAGCATAATGATCGCACTGCTGAGTTGCACTTATCCCCTCCCATTGTCTCTACCTTGATAGAGTCAAAGTTCCATCCAGATAACTAACAGAGGAATGATAAAATGCAGCAATGTTGTCCCTGTTGCAACAGAGAAGAACATGAGTTTGGTGGCAAGATAATAGAGAGCCTTGCCTTTTGACAGAAGAAGCAACTCATAGGTTCTTGAGGCAGGGCAGCGAGAAAGCTTCCAACATTAATGTCTCCAGCTCTTTTTACAGTGTTTTCTCTGGAACAGAAGCAGAAGTAATAAATTAGGTTGGCATCCCAAGTCCCATGGAAGCCTTAGGACAGTGGTGGCGAACCTATGGCACACGTGCCAGAGGCGGCACTCAGAGCCCTCTCTGTGGGCACACAGGCTATGCCCAGAAGATGGCAACCGTCCCTCTTCAACCAGCCGCCCACTAACTTGCCGAGGTCCCACATGGCCAGATGCATCCCAGCACCCATGCGCTCGCTGGCCTCTGTGTGCAGAGGTCGATGGTGTCAGGCAGCAGCGGCCCCTGCCACACCTTGCCCTGTAACAATGGCACCCCCACCCTGCCTCGCCTCGCCTTGCCTCACCCCGCAGGTCGAGCCCCCTGCCCACCGCCCCACCTGGCAGAGACCCCCTGGATCTCCCCAACCCTGTCCGGCCCCCACAGGCATCCCTCCCCACGAGCAACATCAAGGTGATCACACCCACCCAATCTGCCATGACCACCACAGCCACGCCCACCCAGTGGGCCACGCCCACCTGGCACCCGGCGATAAATAAGTGGGTTTTGGGTTGCAGTTTGGGCACTCAGTCTCTAAAAGGTTCGCCATCACTGCCTTAGGACATCACTGACATATGTCAAAGGCGTCTATAATGAGTTGCTCGGTTTTTCTAAAAGATGATATATGAGCTATCTAAGTTCCTTTTCATCTTGGGACACTGTGTGGTTCTTTCCTTTCTAGACTCCAGGTCCAGCCGCATATCATAAGCCCAGTGTAGAGATCTACAAAAAGAGTGCACCAAAATATACCATGGCAGGCCGACTCAAAGATCACAAAACTGACAAAATGCCTGGACCTGCAGAGTACGAACTGGGAAAGGTGAGAAAAATATATTTTTTCCAGGAAAAAAAGAAAAGAAAAATGTCCACCCACCCACCTGAAAAAGTGTTATTTAATTTTCATAAGGTTCTGACATTTATTAGGGCTAAAATGTACGAAGGGAAGAATGTTGTATTTGTTCTTGTACAATAGAAGAAGAAGCAAGGAGGAAGTTTTATAATAATAATAATAATAATAATAATAATAATAATGATAAAGTTGGAAGGGACCTTGGAGGTCATCTAGTCCAACCCCCTGCTCAGCAGGAAACCCTATACCATTTTGAACAAATGGCTGTACAGTTTCTTCTTAAAAACTTCCAATGTTGGCGCATTCACCGCTTCTGGAGGCAGGTTGTTCCACTGGTTAATTGTTCTAACTGTCAGGAAGTTTCTCCTTAGTTCTAGGTTGCTACTTTATTTTTAAGAATTCAGAAGTTCTGTGCTTACATTGGTCCCACCAATATTCAATAAGTATGATCTTTTCCTTTACCCTGCAACATTCGTATATTCCATTCTCATATTTCAATGATTTGTTACATTAGGAATGAAATTGGGCATTCATTCTTCCTTTTATCTTGCTCCAAAAGACTACAGTTAAACTACAGCTGACTGATATTCAGAATTCCAACTGTAATGTAAGCTCTTCCCACAAACTAAGATAAATCTGTAGCTGTTAGCTTTAATCTAAGAAAAGTGCTGAAAGCCTTCCTCTGGCCACCCATTCCTTGCCCCGTGCCAGGGGTAGGCAACCTTGGCTCTTTTATGACTCATGGACTTCAACTCCCAGAATTCCTGAGCCAGCCATGCTGGCTCAGGAATTCTGGGAGTTGAAGTCCATGAGTCATAAAAGAGCCAAGGTTGCCTACCCCTGCCCCATGCTGTCAACAAATCTGATTGTCTAAAGAGGGGCCATTATATCGGAGCTGCAGAATCTAGATCAGTGTTTCTCAACCTTGGCAACATTAAGATAGGTGGACTTCAATGCCTAGAATTTGGTGTTGAAGTCCAGCTATCTTAAAGTTGCCAAGGTTGAGAAATGCTGATCTAGACCATAAGATGGTAGAAGAGTTATGTTAAGCTTAGATTTTTATGATCCAGACCCGATAGCTCAGGGCCAGGGCCTCAAGAGGAATTATAGAGGAAGAAAGGTGTTGAAGGAAGCAAAGGACAGAAGAACTGACATTACAAGGATTGCTCTCCCCTTCTTTTCTATTGCCCCTTGACCAGTGCAAGCACTGGAAATCGAATCCTTGGAGGCTCCTACAGCTTTCTCAACTGTTTCTGATTGCTCCTTCTCTTCTTCCGGCTCTTCTTCTACTAGCTTATGAAGGAATGCAGGGAGAAAGAATAGGCATCCCACACTACATTGCTTTTTCAATTGTATCCATGGAATCTGAAACGGGGAGCCTAAGGTTCCATGAGACTTAATGGGGTTTCACGGGAGACTAAGGACAAAAAAAACCCCAACTTCACTCAAATGCAACTAATTTTCTATCATTACTATGCTCTAGTATATCATCAGATGTGTGCCTTTTAATCGGAGTTCTAGGATTTCTTAAAAAGGCAACTAAAAGTTTCTGCAGCCTGAAAAAGTCTGTAAAGTCTTCTGTATTGTAATATACCTCCAGGGACCCCACAATCAAAGATCAGAAGATCTCTACATGGCAGCAAAGAGATATAGCCTATACATAAAGGAGGGATACTTTTACCTGGCTAAGTGGGGGGAGGTATCTTCTGGGGCAAGAAGCTGAGGGACATGGGTGGCTGAAGTTGAGAAGAGACTCAAGCCCATCACTGCTGTATCAGCAGGAAAGAAGTGGCTGGGTGTCCTTCTCTTGGCTGCACTCAGTAGTTAATGTCAAGGTTGAGGGAGGTGCATGGTATTTGAGCTCTCTCCCTTGGGTACCCCATTTGCAAAATGGGCCTTGGTGTCTACCACTACTATGTTTACTTATTATAAACTATATTTTTTTTTATTCGAAGAAAATAAATGCTATTAAAATGTACAAATTTTACAGTACTAACATGTACCAATAGCCAGAAGCCAGGTCTATTTTGCCTTACCTGTTTTCATCCTCCTATTTCTAGATATCTTGTGCTCCTGTAATCAGTTTTGGAATCAGACATTCCGATTATACAACCCCTGTGATTGTGGACGTTTACTGATTTTGTCCTCTGTGCAGAAATCACATTGGTTTTTCAACTTGTTTTTTTATCATGTTGCTCCTGTTTCAAAGCTACCTGTTTTTAAAGCTTCAAAACCAACTAACAACTGTTTCACCATGTTTTATAACCACCTGTCTGGAAGGACTACCACAAATATTCAGTAACTGACTATTGAGACTGACGTTCTAATCTCTCTGACAAAAAGAATGTGCCATAGCCATTTCTTGGGATGAAGAGAGCCCATTGCAAATTCTGCCCTGCTGAATATATGCCTAGATTTTGACACTAATATAGAGACCATGGTGTCATTCTCCAGAAATTGGAATTACAAATATTTTATATTATATTTTTTTTGTAAAAGCCTACTTGGATTCCTGCTTCAGAACTATTTCAGAGAACTTGCTATTCTTACAGTAAGTCACATAAAAATATTTTGTATATCACTATCTTCGTTTAGAATAAATAAATTGGAAAGTCGGTTTTTATTTTGTCCTTCTTTCAATGAAAATTAAGTCTCCTTTTATAGTACACAAAGGCTGGCTGGAGAAGTCTGGAAGTTGGAAGTCCATTCATTTTAAAATGGGTAAGATTGAAAAAAACTGGCCTAATGAATGCTCTGGAAAATTGGGAACGGTTAAACTTGCTTTATTTTCAAATTTAAATACAATGTGAATGTTACTATTTCAACTGTGAGATAAGTTGCAAATCAGATTTACCTACAAAAGAATATTCACTTGCTTCAAGTGAAAGGTACATGTATAACAATTATAGGAAGATCCAAAATGGATCAGTGCTGGATATCCTGTTCCTTCTATTCTTTTTTCCCCCTCTATGGAACAACATATGCTGGCAAATTGTATTTTGGAAACCAAAAGTATTAATGAGTAAGATATGATATAAAAATCTTGTACATCTGGAGTTCTTTTCAGTAGACAAATACAGGATTGCATTGTCACAGGTAATCCTCAACTTACAACCTTTCATTTAGTAACCGTTCAAAGTTGCAATGGCACTGAAAAAAAGTGACATGACTGTTTTTCACACTTGCAATTGTTACAATATCCCCATGGTAACGTGATCAAAAATTGGATGCTTGGCAACACACGTGTTTATGACAACTGCAATGTCCTGGGGTCATGTGATCAGCTTTTGTGATCTCCTGACAAGCAAAGTCAATAGGGAAGTCAGATGCACTTTATAGCCATGTTACTAACTTAACAACTGAAGTGCTTCACTTAACAACTGTGGCAAGAAAGATGATAAAATGGGGCAAAATTCACTTAACAACTGTCTCGCTTAGCAAAAGAAATTCTGGGCACAACTGTGGTCATAAGTTGAGCAGTACCTGTAATTGTACATACAATCTTAGCTTAAATGCTGCTAACGCTTTAGTAATAAACATCAGAAGGAAAATATTGATTCTAGTGCAGGGGTGTCAAACTGCCGGACGCATCACGCGGAAGCCGTGCCCACCCCATTGCCGGCAATGGCAAAACTGTCCCGATACGTTGCGCGACGTCACGTGACATCGCGAGTTTGACATGTCTGTTCTAGCGAGATGGGAATCACCTAAGCAATCATTAGTTGTCAAAACTCCTCTAGAACTACAGTGCAATTCTATGCACGTCTACTCAAAACTAAATCTTACTGAATTCAACAAAATGCAATCCAGGAAAATATGCATAAAACTGAATTTTTAATCTAGAATCAATACATCAAATTAAAAAAGAAGCTTAAGATTGATTTTGACAAAGTTTAAAAAATGAAGATACATTAACTTACTATATGGTTAGTACAACTCAAAACTGGTAAATCAATTAAGGGATTAATTAGAATGGAAAGGGAAAAAAACAGAAGTAATGTGGTCATATGTTCAAGGTGTTTTCTATTTTGTGAGTGCTTTAAATCCAACTCTGTTCTTCTACACACCTCTTTGAGAGTTAACGCAAGGATTATGGTTTATAGCTGCTGGTTTACCCAGAAACAGTGATAAAGCAATTTTGTTTTAAAAGACATTCCAATGTGAGATACCACTTCTCAGAAATGCACATATCCTAACATCAGTCTTTTAAGTAACACTTTTTTCCCATTAAAATGGGCATTAGAACATTTTTACTAAACATTGTCAGAATTTTCCTGCTGAACCATATACTGCAGAAAGCTAATCAACAATATGCTTCCTCTTTCACCAAGTAATGATAGCAAGCTAATACAAGGGCAGAGGGAAAGAGACTTCATTTCAGTGAATTGTGTTGCATTTGAGCTTTCAAGAAGAGAGGGACAAAATCATATCCTCTTTAAAGAAAAAAGATGAGTTCAGAATGGAGAGATCATGCTGTAGTTCACAAAGGAGCTTCTGGGTTACTGTGAAAATTTAAATAATCCTTCCCAAGGTACACATCTGAAGGTCATCCACAGGTCATCCATTACCACTTTTTTCCTTCAACAAACATCCAGTACAAAACTTTAATAATTTCCCTCAAGTTCGTGCTCTTGTTACCAAATAATACAAGATGAAAAAGACAAGAATCAGTCCACCAGAGACATAACAGAGAAGCTTGCGGTTGTCCCTTCCTGACCGAGTCATAGTAGAGAAACGCTTCACGCTTCCTGTGAGAAGACCTGTCACACTCATAAAATCAGAATCCTAAAACAAACAAAAAAAGATAACTGTAACACATTATATAATAGATAGTCCATTTCTCTAATATAGCCAGGAAACTCTAGAATCAACCTGAGTGATTGTTTCATTCCCATTTAAAGAAAAGATTAATTAAACTGTTAAAAGATTTGAAAGGGAAATTCTATCAACCATCTTGTTCTTTTTCTGTCCTTACTTTGCTGGTTTTGTCTTTTTGAATTGTGTTTTTATTTCCTTCATTGTACTGTGAGCAATCTAGTCATTCTTCAGTTAGACAGCTCCTAGATCAAATAAATTAAACTGTAGCCATACATAAACATAGTTCTTAAACTGGCAAAATTCGCAATGTAATACTATAGTGATGCTGCAGCACTTTCCACTACAAATTTTCTAACATCATTTATCCTCACAATTTATCCAATAGGAGAAAAATTATATGTCTGAGGTCCATCATTAGCTTTTATTAATAATGAACAGACTTTTAAACTTAGATCTTACAACAGTGTGATGAACAGAACATACCATATGCAAAAATATTACAAAGGATAACATGAAGTGAGAACTAACATGTGTATGAAATAGCAAGCCACAGCTGCCATGACTGTGATTTACCAGCCTATGAAACCCATCACTACAGACCACTAGTTATTTTTATAATATGTCATAGCCTACACATGGTTTGTACTTGCATACATGGAAATGTTTTATATATAGGAAATCCTTTTGAAATTGGCCTCACCAATTTGACTATACAAAGCAGTTCCTTAAAATATTTATATTAGCGTCATGAAAGCCAGAACTAAGAACCTACAAGCCATTACTGATACCAAGAGACCAAAGGTTCACATCCGACTTCTTTTAGAAAAGTAGCACACATACACATACAACTCTAGGAACTCCATGGCAGGATAAAATGCATTTTTTGGGTGGGTGGGGGAATGAAGACAAAATGATGAAAGTTACCAGGATGGAAGTTTAGTAGTAACAATTTCCTTGAATCTGATGGGTTCAAAATTCTAAACAAAATTGTGTTTTTACATAACTCAAGTGTACTGTATTACATAACTCATCCTTCAGGTATATTTTTTCCACATGAACTGCAAATAGTTGTTTACCATATTATCCAGGTACTGGTTTTGATCATCAGCATCTTTGTCAATGTCCAATGCAAGCTAGATTAAAAAGAAGAAGAAATTATTGTTTCCAACATTCTCATTTTTGACATATTTTGTAATAATGCTGATTTTGGAAAGGATTACAATTTTCATTTCCACATTAGCAATATAGAAAAAAAAATCTGGCATAGGGAACTCATCATTATAATTAGCTAGCAGTGAAAAACTAACAGATTGAGTGAGCTACCAACCGATTTTAGACGGGTGACTTTAGTGGCCAGATTTTCTGCCATGTGCTTATTTTCCACATCTAACATATCATCCACCACATTTGTGTTTGGACCTGCAAAAAAAAAAAGTTATAACTTAAGAAGAGCTAAGAATACATGTAGGAGTTCATAGAAAAAGACAAACAATGGGTAACCTACAGATCTCTATTCCACACACACAGGGAACATTTCCCCTCAAATTCCAAGTTCAAAATATTATTGAGCTGACAGAGTTCAAAAATAAATACTTTGTAAAAAGGTAAAAACAATTTTAAAAGGCCATAACAACAAAGCCTACCCAGTTCCACATACCAGTGTATCTTATCACCATTTCATATGGTCTCCTGCTTGGGCAGAAGGTTGGGACTAGAAGACCTTCAAGGTCCCTTCCAACTCTGTTATTCTGTATGTTACTATTGCCTTTCTTTGGCCCCAAACAAGATCTTTAAGTGAAAGCAGGAAAGCTTGTGTGTTGGGCAAAGGAGACAAGAGAACAGAGAAGGCAGCTGTTCTTCCCGGCGGACATTCTCTCCTGCCAGCTGCCTGCCAGATGTTCCACAAACGATGGTGTCCGTCTCCATCCCCAAAGGTTGGAGTAATGCGAAAGGAATGGAGCCCTCCAAGCAGAGGATGGCTCGAAAACACACCTTCCTTATTTTGCAGCCCTCTCCTCTTCCAAAACTAATCAATCTGTCAAGGCAATGAAGAAAAGAAGAGCCGCGGCACCCACTAGCTCTTTCCCCATCTCCTCCTCCTCCTCCTCTCTTTGCACTCACCTCGGCCCCAGTCCGCCATGGCCGCTTCCTGCCTCCGTGTCCTGCTCCGCCCCCCGAGAAGCGGAGATTTGTTTTGGTGCGCGGGGAGGAGGAGGGCTCTGGGCCCGGCTGCAGCCGCGGATAGGTCTTTCGGGGAAGGCGGGCTCCTTGGCCTAGAGAGCCTTACGCTGGCACGCTGGCGGGGTGTTGCGCGTTGCCCCTGCGTGTGAATGAGGGCAGGGCTGTCCTGTAATAGGAAGCGGGCGCGGGCGCCTAGGCAAGCGAGGCTGAGAGGGATAAGGCAAGTCTTCGCGCGCGGAACGCCCGTCCGTCTCGGGAGCCAAGGGGAAGCTCCCCGCTGGAGCGCCTTTGGAGTTTCCGCCCCAGGCAGAGAAATGCTGCGGGCGACCTTCTTTATTACGCAATGTAGGTAACTTCTGCTCTCGGTGGCTTTAGTGAGGCTTAAGTGTAGTCTCCTCTTTTTTTTTCTTTCCTCCCCTTTACGGTCACGATGTCAGCAAGCAAGAAAAGTAACAGCCGCGGGGCTTCTCGCGCGTTTTTAGCGGTGGACTAAATATTAAATGATGGTCTTCCCACGGCGCATTGACCCAATAGCTGACCCAACCAATTAGAGCCGAGCTCACGGTGCCGACTCAACCTGCGTAATTGGTTTACGGTTCAGCGTTGGGTAAAAATGCCTTAGTTAAGTAAACCAGGGTTCAGCTTACCGGGATTTTGACATATGTGCAAACAGACATAAACAAAGGTCACTTTTCATGATTTAATGGCAGAGGATGCCATTGTTCTGGTATCAGCTTTTTTATTGCAGAAAATATCTTTGATTAAAATTTTGCATTGGAGTTTACTATGTGGAGGGAGAAAAAGAAGGGGACCACCTCGCAGTTTCAGTAGGGCATCTTTTTATGTGGTGTAAATTGGCAAGGGTCCCATTTCCCATCAGTGAGGAAAGTTAAATTGGTACTCTGTGTGTTCTTCAGAGCTCAGGGAAAGCTGGAAATTCTTTTCACTTTCATTTTTTTGAACAGTGCAACCTAATACAGTAGAGCCCCATATTGCACGTTTCATGTAGCCACATCTTTCCTATATTGTGTAGATGACAGCAAGAAATATTTCTTGTAGGAAAGTGGGTGTCTGCATGTATATAGCATTGAATGCCATATCTGTCAGCTACTGCTAAGGTGTGGAAGTGCAGAGTCATAATTGTACCTCTCCAGTTAATTCCATGTAGGAAATTCTTGAGCATGAACTGAGTGACCTGATAAGAGCTCCATAGGTCAGCACCTAAAATTATCTTCCCTTCCCTACTCGTCGCTCCCATGTAACGCCGCTGCTGCGCGAACTGCACTGGCTACCGGTGGCCTTTCGAGTGCGCTTCAAGGTGTTGATTATCATCTTTAAAGCGCACCATGGCATCGGACCTGGTTATCTCCGAGACCGCCTTCTGCCACAGATTGCCTCTCATCGACCGGTACGCTCCCACAGAGAGGGTCTCCTCAGGGTGCCGTCAGCCAGACAGTGCCGGCTGGCGACCCCCAGGGGGAGGGCCTTCTCTGTTGGAGCCCCCTCCCTATGGAACGAACTACCCCCAGAGACCCGGGTCATTCCGGATCTCCCCTC